GCTCTTAGGCTTGGGATTGTTCTAGACTATTGAAAATGGCTTTATCCAAAGACCTGTCAAGGAAAGCTCTTTTGTTCTTCAAGCTGCCGATTTCTGCCATTTAAGGATTAATCTGTGCAGAGGTTTGATAATTCTGCATTCTAGATAAACTGTGGCCAATCAGTATCCATGAAGAATTTAGCATGTGAGGTGCCAAACTTCCTTAAAGTTTGCATTCAAGTTACTCTTAAGTACTTGATAAAAGGCAGCCAGATCCTGCCCAGGAACTGTAAATTACCATCCCCCCACATCCCCCACCAGCTCTCAAGATGGTGCCCTGGGTCCCTTGCAACCTCTGTTACCTCCATTAGGGAAGCCCCTGGGTAAATTAACTCTGCCAAACTCAGCAGGCAGCCCTCAATAGAGGGCTGGTGGTAGAGGCAAGAGGAACACAAGTTCAAGGTCATCCTTTGCTCCACAGTGACTTGGAAGTCAGCCTGGGCTATAAGAGAGCCCGTCTTTAAGAAACAGGAAATGGGGGCTGGAGAGATGGCTCAGCGATTAAGAACACTGGTTGTTCTTGCAGAAGACCCAGGTTCGAATCCCAGCACCCACATGGCAGCTGACAACTGTCTGTAACTCCAGTCCCAGGGGATCCGACAGCCTCTTCTGACCTCTGCAGGCATTGCATGACATGAGTACACTTACTTACATGCAGGCAGTACACGCACATACATAAAATAAAAAATAAATAAATTTTAAAAAAAAGAAAGAGGAAATGAAGAGGATGAAGGGAGAAGCCAAAATGAAATGTGAATAATGAGGAAGATAATTACTTCGCACTTTGTAACTCAGTGGGCCAATGTGCAGATAAATTCATGTGTGCACTTTAGGCAGAGGCTTGGTGACATATGTGGTGAGATCTAATGAATGAGCACTTAGGTATCAGTGCTGTTCCTTCCTGACTTTGGTCCTGACTCCAGAGGGAGAACAAAGCTGGATTTCACTGTGGTTGTTGTTAGAACAAGAAGAGCATCAGAGACCCTGGTGCCACCTCTTTGTCCACGGGTGGAGGGAGATAGGACCCGAGACCTAACCAGCTTACTGGGAATCATGAAATGACATCTTGGCCTTTCTCACAATGTGTGTTCTAGAAATACCTTTCTAGACTAAGGGATAGACAAACAAGGATATTTCCTCTTAGCTGACTGTCTTCTTTAAGATATTAACACTAAGTGACAAGTAGTAGATTTGCAAGTTCCTATTGGAAGACGAAGAAATGCCACCTAAGAAATACAAGCAAAACTCTGTGGGTCAGAGTGGCTAACAAATAGTCCCTCCTTCAGTCTGCCTCTTTAAGCATCAACAATGGGGCATGCTGGGAATGCCGGGGTACTCCTGTAGGATGGTGAATTAACCAAGGAATCAGGCTTGTGCTGAACATAGGCCTAAACCAGGAGAGTGAATGCCAGGCCATGTTACAACCCAAAGCTAAGGATATAAGATCGAGTTTATAAATGTTAAGATAGTCACCTGCCTTTAGAAACCCAGCTTCTCTCAGAGGCAGAGGCAGGCAGATCTCTGTGAATTTGAGGTCAGCATGATCTACATAGAGAGTTCCAGGCCAGCTAGGACTACATAGTGAGGCCCTGTCTCCAAAACAAAACAAGGCAAAACAAACAAAGAAGAAATACAGCTTCTTTTCAGAAGCAGTCAATACCAACCTTCACCAAGTCCAAAAACATAACCCTGGAGCCAGGGACACCGCCTTTACAGCTCCTTTCTGATTTGGCTCTTCCCTTACTTTGGCAACAAATTCAAAGTTCCAAGGAAGCAGATCATGAAGAAATGGGGTCTTGGAGACGCTGAAGGCCAAGAAGTATCCCTCGCCATTGTTATCTGGTTCAGACCTTGTATCCCTACTTCCAATGGACACAGCCCTCCATGACTCCAGCTCTCAGTAGTCCAAGTAGAAGCTGTAGAATCCTACACTCCATGGTCCACAGCATACAACACGAACAGCAGCTGGATCTACATTTTCAATACTTCTCAAATCCATTGACCCTGTTTCAGGGGCAGCCCAGTCACCATGTCTTCTTCTAGGCCTGTAAACTTGAGTCTACCGAGAGCCCTGCAGAATGGTTCTGAAACAAGTCTCACGCTAGCCCCTCAGCTTACCCCAAAGACTCCAAAGTGAAGCCCAAACCATTACCATTTGACCTCACAGGATCCAGTTTTCTCCTGCATCCTGCCTCCCATGCCCCAGGCTCCCAGCTCACTGTCCTGCATTCACTTCCATGTCCATAAGCCTTTCTATGTGCTGCTCCCCATCTGGACACCATTCTTAACTACATACCAATTAGAGTCTAAGCCTACTGCCTTTCTTTTGCCGAGGAACATTTTCAAACTGACTGCCTTCTATTACCAGGTCCTGGCCCTGGTAATGATCTTTCTTGCCATCCTGGGCTTTTCCTTATGTCAGCCTGCAATGAAGTCGATCAATACTGAACTATTCAAATTTGTCCATTTGACCATCGTTGAAGATCAGAAAGGCAATTCCTCCTTAGAATTCAGTGTTTAGTCCAGCATAAAATATGAACAATTGTTAGACTGATGGATGGATGAGTGGGTGAATGGGTAGATATACACATGGATAGATGATTGGATGCATGTATGGAATATGTATGTAGACGGATGTGTGGCTTGATCAGTGGATGGTGGATAGGTGGACAGACAGATAGACAGATGAATGGTGGGTGGGCAAATGGGTGGATGAACAGGTAAGTTGTAGATGGATGAATGGATGGATAGATGGCTGAGTAGGTATGGATAGGTGCGTGGATGAGGTGAATGGATTGATAAAATGGATGAAATGCCATAGACCAAGAAGCATGGGAAGAATCCTATACGTTCTGAGAAAAGGTCCCAGGATACTCTTAAGCATCTTTTCTAAAGTAAGACAGAAGGAACATCCTGCGAGGAGTCTCTGGCTGAGACCTGAGATGGGCACCTTATTTCTTAGGAAGGCTGGGAGCCAGTGGGTTCTTAATCCCCAGGATGCCTCAACTCAGATCTCCATGGAGGCCAGCATGACAGATTCTGGGGCCTCACTGAGCCTCTTGACAATGCCCTGTGGTTTCCCACCTGAACATATGCTCTGAAACTCTGGGTCATCTCACAGTACCAAAGATCTGTACTGTACAGTGAATTCTTACTATTTTATATCGCCTCAGCATCACTCTTGAATGTAATTAGTTTTCTCACACCAGTGCAAGGTTCAGCCACCTTTGACGGTTTCTGGTTGTTCATCTCCTTTTGGCTCGTTGTGGTCACTCCAGATATTTACCTTCCATAGCTTCTTCCTGTGACCACTTCCCTAGACACAGCTTGCTGCAGTCTTAGCTTGCTTCACTGACCCTCACTTTCCAGATGGTTAGTGCAGATTTTCCACAGTGACCGTCTCTTGGTCACAGAGTGACGCCTGCTTGCTCTGAACTCCAAATAGCACTACCCTCAAAAAGATCTGCCTGGAGGACACCCTGGACCCCAGTAAAGCCTTTGATTCATTCTCTCCTCTGTCTCTCCTCTCTCTCTCTTTCTTCACTCTATGACTCCCTACTTCTCATTGATTCTAGGCTCTGTGGTAATTAAACTCTTGTTGTTTTACATGTTAATTTGTGCTGCTTCCTTGCAGCTCTTTAACACCCTCCAGTCACAGTCAGACAGTGGCTATCTTGGACCCAGGTCAAAGAACCATCAGGATATCTGCCTGTGTCAACCTCTTGCCGGTAAGAGGGGCACATGGTCTAGTAGGACAGGGCTAGAATTTACAGATAGACCTCAAGACCAAGTTAGAGAAAAACATAGCCATTTGCCAGTGATGGAAGAAGCTGAGGAACTTCCCGTTTCCCGACTCCTCAGGTGTGAGGGCTCTCAGGTGTGAGTGCCACTTTTCAGGGGACTGGGCTCACCCTGCATTGGTTCCTTCTTTGAGTGTCTCACATTTTCTCCATATATACTATTTACTCCAAAGCCTTGTCTCTGGCTCAAGTTGGGGGTAGAAAGAGATGTGGGGGGAACTAAACACGGTTCCCTCAATCAAATGATCAAGCTACTGATTGTAGGAAGGAACCCTTTGATTTAGGGACTTTGGCCCAGATGCTGTGAGATGTAAGACCTGCCCTGGCTTGACTGTGATTCTTATTCCTTGCCTTTGAACTCTAGTCTTTGATTTTTCTTTCCCTGCCCTTAAACTCCCTCTGCACCTTGGAGCCTGGTGTGAGGAGGCCATCAACCCCTCCCTCAGAAACAGGAGGTCAGAAACAGTTTTGTTTTCCTGTCTGTCTGATCATTTTTGTGACCCTGCCACTTTACAGTACAATATTCGCACCAGGAAACTCTGAAAACCGCCAAATTTCACCCAATTTAGTTTAATGCTCTTGAGGAGCTTGGCATTGTGTTAGAAACCCAGACATTCCCACGGCCTGGATCCTATTTAAAAACTGGCTAACTATTTAAAGTTCACGATGAGGAGGATAAAAGAAAAGAGACTCCCAGAGCCAATGGGAGAACACCAGATAGGAAAAAGACAGATCCAACTTGCTTCTAAAAAAGGCTGAAAACCGTACCCATCCATGGCCTTGTGTCTCAAGTCTTGCATATTTTCTTTTCCCTTTTAGTGGTTTGCAAACCCAAGTGGAATTTTATTATGGGTTACTGGATGATCCTTTTCAAGTCCCTAGCTCACAAAGGAGCATGCCATTAGGGTTTCTCCTACTATGGGAACGTGAATGCAGCCAAAATAAGGCAGCGGTATCTCTGAGCTCAGTCCTCCCCACACCAGCCCACTGTGTTTCCACAGCTCAGAGCCAGCAACGCTGCCTGTCCCCTTCTGTGCACAACAAAACCGTGATGAAGGCAACAGGAGTCAGAACGCTATTCACTACAGGAAGCCCCAGCATCCGGTGAGAAATAAGAAGTAGGAGAGCACAGGATGCGCCCTGGGTCAGGGGGATGTGAAAAGCCTGGAGTCTTTGTATCCTTCTCTGAGCCAGAGCTGCGCTGGCTTGATGGCAGCAGCTCCAGCCTTCAGTTCCCCTCGGAGCAGAACTGGGTACTAAGCTCCAGGAGCCCGTGGCTGCCATCACTGTGGGGAGTCTAGCCTCTCTGGGAAGGGGACACAGACACCAGAATGACCACCTCGACAGGCTTGCTGCTGCTGCTGCTCCTAGGCCAGCCCTGGGCGGAGGCTAGAGCTGGTTCAGAAGCTGTAGTGTGCAAGGGGACTGCCTGCTACACAGCCCACTGGGGCAAGCTGAGCGCTGCGGAGGCCCAGCACCGTTGCAATGAGAACGGAGGTAACCTGGCCACAGTGAAGAGCAAGGAGGAGGCCCGGTATGTCCAGCAAGTCCTGGCCCAACTTCTGAGGACCAACACACCCCTGGAAGCGAAGACAGGAAAATTCTGGATTGGGCTTCAGCGAGAGAAGGGCAAGTGTCTGTCCCCTGATTTGCCACTGAAGGGTTTCAGCTGGGTGGATGGTGGGGAGGACACAGCTTATTCCAACTGGCACAAAGAAGGCAAGAGCTCCTGTGTCTCCAAGCGCTGTGTGTCCTTGATGCTGGACCTGTCCCTGATACCCAACCCCAGCCACCTCCCCAGATGGTCCGACAGTCTCTGTGGGACGTCTGGCTCTCTAGCAAGCTACATTGAAGGTTTCCTGTGCAAGTTCAACTTCAAAGGCATGTGCCAGCCCCTGGCTCTGGGGAGTCCAGGCCAGGTGAGCTACACCACCCCTTTTCAGGCGACGACCTCCTTCCTGGAGACTGTGCCCTTTGCCTCTGCAGCCAATGTGGCCTGTGGGGATGAGGCTGAAAATAAGACCTATTATTTCTTATGCAAGGAAAAGAGTCCTGGTATATTTCACTGGGACAACTCCGGCCCCCTCTGTGTCAGTCCCAAGTTTGGCTGCAGCTTCAACAACGGGGGCTGCCATCAGGAATGCTTTGAAGGGGGAGATGGCTCTTTCCGCTGTGGCTGCCGGCCTGGGTTCCGGCTGCTAGATGATCTAGTGACCTGTGCCTCCCGGAATCCCTGCAGCTCCAACCCGTGCGGAGGAGGGGGATCTTGCAACTACACACCCCACCAGAGCAGCTACACATGCAGCTGCCCCAGTGGCTACCAGCTGGACTCTAGTCAAGTGAACTGCGTGGATGTGGATGAGTGCCAGGACTCTCCCTGCGCCCAGGAATGTGTCAACACCCTCGGGAGCTTCCACTGCAAATGCTGGGTGGGCTACCAGGCCAGTGGCCCCAAGAATGAGACTTGTCAGGATGTGGATGAATGTGCCGCTGCCCAATCACCCTGTGCCCAGGGCTGCAGCAACACTGATGGCTCCTTCTACTGTTTCTGTGAAGAGGGCTACATCCTGTCTGGGGAAGACAGTACCCAGTGTGAGGATGTGGACGAGTGTTTTGGCCCCAGAGGCAACCCGTGTGACAGTCAGTGCTTCAACACACAGGGTTCTTTCAGATGTGACTGTCCTCAGGGCTGGGAGCTGGCTCCTAATGGGGTCTCTTGTATCATGGGCCCTGGGTCTTCAGAACCACCATCCAGGCTTCCCCAAGAGGAAGGCAAAGGAGACAGAAAGGGGAGCACTGTGCCTCCTGCTTCACTGTCTAGTTCCACCGGGGGTTTGGAGGACATCTCCAAAGAAAGACATACCATAAGGAGTCCCTCCCTCCAGTCTGATGCCCCCACTGCCTCTGCCAGTCTAGAAATGTCAACCCCAAGTGGAGCCTCTGGAATTGTCTGGCTGGAGTTGGACACGGACCTCCCCACAGTGTCTGACCAGGGCAAGCCGACGGATGGAAATTCTGTGGCCACACAAAGTGACAGTGGCACCGATGGGCAGAAACTACTTCTGTTCTACATCCTGGGCACCGTGGTGGCCATCTTGCTCCTTCTGGCTCTGGGTTTAGGGCTTCTCATCTGCCGTAAACGGAGAGCCAAGAAGGAGGAGATAAAGGAGAAGCAGCCCCAGAATGCAGCTGACAGCTACTCCTGGGTTCCAGAGAGAGCTGAGAGTCGAGCCCTGGAGAATCAGTACAGGTAAGGAGGCTCAACTTTACCTGGGAAGCTGGGTGGACATGTGGGGGGTGGGAGGCACGGAACACGGTACTGAGAGGCAGGAGCAGGCAGCTAGCCCTGCAATGGTAAGCTCAACTTTAGCAGCCCAGTGCAGGGGACGTCTGTCTGTCCTGTGAGTGCATGTGAGGGAAAGGCAAGGGACCCAAAGATGCAGATGTAACATGGCATATGGTTTTCCAACACTGTGATGTTCTGTTTTCCACAGCCCAACCCCTGGGACAGACTGCTGAAGGCAAGGTGGCTACAGAAACAGTCAGCTGCCACCATCCTTGGAGCTTTAAACACCCTGATGAAGGGGAGACCCACATCCTTCTAAAAGACTGGACTGGATTCTTAGTAAACAATGTGCATCTTCTCCTTAACAGCCTAGGGACTCAGGATGGGCAGGCATTTCCCAGATGCATTTGATATGCCTGAGGTAGAAGCTATGTGTTGGTCTATCATCGTGGGGGTCATGTGGCTATTGACAGCCCCCCCACCCTTTTCAAATTCAAAAGTGACTGATTTCATTTCTTCCCCTGGTTCTGGATCAGGGCATGAGGAGTCGTGGGGCTCCCTTCAAAGACTTTTCTGATCTCTTCATTTAACAGAGAGGAAAAGGTCCTGCTGGTGCTAAGATAGAAACAAGTTCTCTTCTTAATATGATAGAAATGAGGCCATTAGTTATTTAATTATGTGAGAAGTAGGTAGGTTCCACCCCCCCCACCACCACCACAGGGAAAATACTCTGGACTGGATGCCGTTGTCTACATTTGTCTTCCTGTATTTCCCCTCCATCCCCTGTCAGAATGAGAGCAAGGTTAAGGAACTGCTTAGGTAGCAAGCAGGGAGCAACCTGTGTTCTCTGGTTCTGAGAGTCTTGGGCTTAGTGGCAAGTGAAGCTGGAAACAGGAGAGTTGCTTCAAATGAGTGAGAGGCCTTGGTAACAGCTTAATCCAGAGGGAAGGAGGCAGGGCTTTATTTCACAGATACTTGAATTAATTTATCTGAATGGACTGATATTGATACACACTTGACTACCCATGAGATGAACAACAACATAAAACCCCCAAGGACAACTTGTCTTTGAGCCAGCACAGGCCCCCAGACCCCCAGACTCCCAGGCCCCTCTACATGCCACCTTGACTCTCCTTACACTGTCCCTTTTGGGAAGCTTGGACTGTAGATTCAGGAAACTCCAGGAGCCTTTCCTTCTGACTGAACAGAAAGGATGTGTGAGTGGAATGATAGGCCTTGTTTTGAAAACTGTCATTTTCAAGTAGTTTAGCCCAGTTCACAGTCAAAACTGCATCTGGAGAACTTGAACCCTGTCTTGTGGGGTGTGGCACACAGCAAGGATTAGTCACACAAGGAGATTTTAGGGACTTTTGTTCCTGCCCAGTTGATGAGGAGGAAAGGGAGAGAGGAAGTGAGAATAAATTATTTTCTAACAGCTAAAACCAACAAACTTCTCAGAGCCATTACAATATATATGTTTATTTCAAAGCATGCACTTGCAAAATTGTCCCCTTACCTTGTTGTGAGCGATGGCGCTCCACCTGTACAAGTCTTTCTAGGGCCTGGGACACAGCCCTGGTGAGTCAATTCAACATCACTGGGAGGCTTCCTGTCTCCTGGAGGCTTTTTGCTGTCTCTGTCTTGGGAGAGCTGAGACCAAGATCCTGTCTCTCCAGAGTCTTTGTTCTCAGGGTGCCCTATTGTTAACAGTTTCAAATGCATCCACCCAACGGTTGGCACCCTGGTATTAGAACATGGATAACCACCAGATACAGGCCTTTGGTGTTAAGTAAATATGTTTTTGTCAATTTTAAAATATAGATGCTTTAATTCAGGTATACTTTTAAAGAAAACGGCAAACCTAAGGTTGAGGATGATAGGAGAAAGATGGCGGCTTTGCTGGACCCAGTGGTCCTTCAAATGTCTGCTCTTGAAAATCATTTCACCATTCAGCTTTCAGTTGGAATTTTGGTGTTTGGCACCTAAGGGAGATCAGGGTTGTGTCCAGTTGGCAAGAAACATCATGGGCCACAGGACTCCTGGCAGCAGTTAAGACTGGCAGTCCATTGTGTAGAAACCAGCATAGGCCGTTCAGTTGACTTTAGATGCATGGTAATACCTACACTTAGTAACATGATTGCAAATGCAACACTTTTACCTCTAGTCCTTCAACTTCTCAGCACTTGAGGTAAGGAAGATGTACTGAGTCTAGGCTTCCCAAAGCCCCTTGCATGGTCTGTGCCTAGGCTGTGTAGGACTTGAACTGACGAAGGTCACTTGGAGTTCTCTTGTTTCCACAGTGTCCAGATTTTAGGCCCAGCCCAGCCCTATTCCCTCCTACCACAGGTCTGTGCTCCAATTCTGCTATTGGTAGTGACTTGCTATCCCACCCCCCACACTCTCAGGGGCACTGTGCATCCTGTCTGTAGGACCCACAGCAGAAAAGGGAATGATAACTCCAAGTGCCTCTTTTAGCATCAACCTGCTCCCACAGAGGTGGAGCTCTCTTATCTGCTGCTACTGCCTGCTAGCAGCCTGCATCTGAGAGCCAGACCTCATGTGATGATGTTGAAGCTACTATTCTTAAACAGATGTTTGATGCTCCCATCTCTTTCTCTTGTCCTCATGTTTGAGACTGGAAAATTTTGGTTAGGGGAACTAAGAGGCCAAGCAATTGATAGGTGAACTCCCACTGGCCAAAGGGGACCCAGGTTGCTCAGCCATGCCTCTCCCACCCAAGAAATCAGTGAGACAAGGGCGGAAGAAGCCCCTGCCTGTGAGGACAGGAGAAAGTTTCATTTGGGAACAGGATTTTTCCTAAGTTCTGACCTGAGACAAAATATATCTAGAACAAATTAATTTCCTCCCACCCTTTACCTTCCAAAGCAGATAATTTAAGGGGGAGCACATCTCAAGCCTGTAGCTCTGTTGTTTCCTAATTTCCAGTAACCATCATTGATTTTTATCTTCTCTGTGGTGTTGGTGATGGAAGGCAAGGCCATATGTGTGCTAGGCAAGTGCTCTCCATGGAGCCAGATCCCAGCCCCTCGAAGTATTTTGCTCTTGATGTTCATTATTGAAGACAAGTGATAAAAGAGCACCCACCCCCCACACACCCAGTAATATGAAGAGTTTAAAAAACAAAGTACCAAAATATGCCTTAGAAGGGATTTTGGAACACTTTTTGTAAAGGAAATCTAACCCTAGTTTTCTCTAGGATCTAGCTTGACTTTCATGTAAACCCAGGTGTATCTGTCTTCTGGCTTTGGTGACCCATTCATCATCATGATCATCATGATCATCACCATTATCATCACCACTGTCATCATCACCACCTCACACATCATGGTGCTCTGTGTCCTCATGTCAGTTTCTCAGTGATTGTAACTGGACGAATTACACCTGGCTCTGACCGAGGACGGAAGGGCCAGAAAGGAGGGAAGCAGGCTGCCCTCCCCTTTTTTTAAGCCTCTCATCCAGGATCAAACCAGCAAACCTCTGGGAAAGTCTATCCTGACACCTTCCCAAGAACAGGGAAAAATATGAATAATTTGAAGGCATGCTTATGTCCAGTGTGTCAGGCAAACTGCTTAGGAAATAAATCTTTCTCCTCATGAAGTTTTCATCCTCTTTGAACTCCTAACCATGAGCCCTTGGTGTGAGAATGTTATCACCAATCAACCTTTCAATAGGAGGATGGGATCATTAGGTCCTTTTGTTCAAACCTTTTCCCATAATTATTTCTGGAAAAACTAAGAGAACAGAGGTGACATTTGACAAAAAAGTTACTAAATTCAAAATAACATAGCTTTTTAAAGCAAATATAGGAAAGTCTTTTCCTATTATTTTTCTTCTTCGCTCCCCCATTGTCTGAATTGGGGAAACAGGAAAGCGCTGCTTTCTAGCACCTGCGAAATGGTTCAGTGCCCATGCATATTTCCATGTCCTTCAACAATAGGTTTAGTATAGGAATCCGAGGTATGCACCCTGAAAACATCTGTCTTTTCCTGGCTCCCGAACCCAGGGCTTAACTGTATGTGGTTTGTAAAGCCTGTCAACCAAAACAAGGAAACCACGGTACCCCGGTACCCCAATTCTCCACAGAGTCAACAATCAAATTCCTGAGATGAACCTCACTCAAGTACTTGTTGAAAAATGCATTGTGTTTTGATCTGTTCTTAGAGACGGTGCCCATCTATTGAAGGAAGAAATCCTGGACTTCCTATCGTGAACCACTCATCTGACCTGCAAGGTTACAGTGGTTCCTTTCTCCACTTTTAACCCACTGTTCCCCCGAGCTGAAGTTCATTTGCAGATCCAGCTTAAGCTTAAATTATATGGTGGTCAGGGTCTTGTTCACTGTTGTCACCGTGTGAGTACAAATGTTACTAATCATATCCTGAGTCCTTGGTGAGAATGTAAATATTTTTAAATATGTGCATTTGAAATTTGTTTCACTGAACTTGGATCTGTGGGATGTTCAGACAGGACAGACTTTTGTTCTTGAATGAATGTTTCCCAGGCTGTGGGAAGGGGAGGCACTCGGGAAGAGCTTCTCCTTAGAGCTATATGAAATGGCATACTGGGGGGGAATCTCAGAGTTACCTTTAAAAAGTCTCAGCTTTGTCATGCTTTGAGCTTTCTGTTATGCATCTATCTTAATAAACTTTAAAATGTATTTGTTATAAACTAGTCTTATGTCGTCTGTGGCAGGTTAAAACACATGCAGGTGTCTGGAGAGATGACTCGGTGGTTAAGAGAACTGACGGTTCTTACAGAGGACATGGGGTTCAGTTCTAGCACCCACATGATAGCTAACAACTATCAATAACTCAAGTTCCAGGGGAACTGACGCTGTCTTCTGGTCTCCATGGGCATTGCATGTACACGATGCACTTACATGTAGGCAAAATAGTCCTACACATAAATTTTTTTTTAATGCTTTAAAAAAAACACATTGCAGAACTTCCTTTTGTGATTATTAATGTTTCCTTTTGCAAAGAGTCACCCCGATGGCCTTGTTTCATATCTCTCTGGTGGAAAGAACACTGGCATGCAGCTTGGTTGGTGCCGTCCCTCAGCAAGTTGCCCTGGGGACATGGAATTCAGGGTGAGACTGTACTGCAGGGGCACTGTGTCCATGCAGCCGAGAGCAGGTCCTGCTTCTGTTTCCAGACTTAGCATTCTCATCTTGGTCACCATGGTCACCTTTAATTCCCAGTATCTTGTTAATTGCATGAGTGAGCCCAGTAGAGGATTAAAGGCAGCCAGTTGGTGTGATGTGAAGACACCATCCTCTAATTAGCAGAGATCATTTATCGCCGCTTTGTCAGTGAAGCTCTCTCAGTTTATTTAACTAATTGGACAGGCAGACAGAATTGTTGCCTGTTTGGCTGCACAGATCTCACTGTGATTCCACATTGGGGACAGCAGATGGTGGCCAGTGCTTTTCAGATGGTGTGCTTCGTTAAGAGTAAGGCTTAAGTGAGATAAAGTGCTCTGTTCTGTAATGCTAATGGCATAGGACACTTGTAATAAATGCCCATTATTTAAGATTAAATAAAGCTGATCCTCTAGCAGTCAAGGTACTAACAAAATACACTGGGAAGTTTCATCTTATTCCGAGTAACCATGGTTGCCTCTATATCCCAGAAAGTAAGCGTGCATGCGCACGCACACACACACACACACACACACACACACACACACACACTCACACACACACATGCACACACACACACACACAATCTGCTTCATCTGCTTCCACAAATGCACAGACATGCTTAAAAATGGAGCGCACATACATGCTTCCATAAACACATACATATACCCATGAACATGCACACATATAGACAGAGACACATGCAGCATATAGATACTCATAAGCATCCATAACAGAAAAACAATTCTAACACCTGTGTTATGCTGAACAAACCTGAGGCCAGTGTACCCTGGTTTAGGGAAGCTCGTGAACCAAAATATCACCTTTTAATAGTGACATGTTTTGGTGACTGTAAAATTACCCATATGTCAGATAAATCTGTCAAACATGATTCATTTACCAAAGCCCTAGATTTACAGAGTTACTCATATCCACTGCCCAATACCAAGTACATCTGTGTTGCCATCAGAACTGTCACACAAGGTTGAAGAGTCCTGTGTGTATTGTGGACATTCCACGGCATTTGGTCTGAGTTGAATGAGCATGTCAAGTTCTCAACCAATTCCTAAGCCTTCTCAGTAAGAAGAGAAAGTGATATATGAGAAAAATATAGGCCAAAGTCAAAACAATCTCATTTCAGCCTTCCTCTGAATTATATTTTCACATGATGAGGTCTTAAAAAGAAACTTGATGGGCTTCTCCTTCACAGCCTCTTGATGTTCCCAGGAAGATCCTTTTCAGGGGAAATAATGGGTAGGTGAACAGTAAAACGTAGAAGAAAGAAATAGGCCTGGTGATGCATGACGAGCCAAGCACTTGGAGAGGCTGAATCAGGTGTCGGGAGTTCATGGCTAGCCAAGGCTACACAGTGAGACCCTGTCTCAATAAATAAATAACAAATGAAAGTAAGGAAAAAGGAAAAATGAAGGAAAGTTTTGATAACTCTTGAGACTAACAATTATTCAAGGAAGTCTGATTTGACAGAGGACCTTCCCAGGGCGACTCAGCTCAGTGCAGGCACTCTCCTGCCTCCTGAGAGCTCACAGCTAGAGCTGGCCACAAACATCCCTTGATGACTTCTATTGGTTGGGTTTTTAACCAAGATTCATCACCATTGACTAGGGCACTGATATGATCTCCTGATTCAAACTGGTCCATAGTATTCAGATTAATTCAAGGAAGAAGTGGAAAGAAGGGAGGAAGGAAGGGAAGATGGAAGGAGAGAGGGAAGAGGAAGGAAGGACAGAGAGGAGAGGAAGGACAGAGAGAAGAGGAAGGAAGGACAGATGGAAGAGAAGAGAGGAGGAAGGAGGGCACAAGAGACAGAAAAAAAAAAGGAGAGAACAGGCAAGGGGCAGGCACGGGACGGATGATCGCCCTAATGTGGTGGTGGCCATTGGGTTCCATCACATTTCTTACCCTGAACTGGTGAAGGTCCTCTTTCCTCAACGTCATGTGGATTGCCAGGTGTGGTGGCACATGTCTTTAATCCCAGCACTTGGGAGGCAGAGGCAGGTGGATCCCTGTGGGTTCGAGGCTACTATCGTAAGTTCCAGGGCAGCCAGTGCCACATAGTGAGAATCTGTCTCAAAAAACTAAAAAACAAACAAACAAACGAAAACTACATGGACCATCCAGGCTACACTTCCAGAAAAGAAGAGCAGTTTCTCTGGACCCTGGTGGGGACCAGCACCCCCTCCTGGTGTGCACATCCCCTCTTGCTGCAGAGAACTAGCTCTGCATTTTACACCAGGCTTTGCATCTGTCATGTACCTGTCCTAATAATCTCTAAAATGCATTTGTTATAAACTTGTATATGTAGGAAGCCTTTAAGCTGAGCCCATGACTTCTGTCCCACTGGGTTCTTTTAGGCTCAAATATTGTAGAAAACAGTGAAATGGAAAAAAAATATTGTAACTTTAACTTTCTCTAGGATCTTGCTTTCCTCCTAAGATTACGTACTAAAGTATTTTCCCCCTCACTGTCAAAACCACCAACTCCCTTTCTACTCTGGTGTGTCATGAGCAGTCTCTGAACCCCCACTTGCAGCTTGCCTGATGTTGCTGAGCCCCCCAGGCCTTGCCTGACAGTCCCTTTCCATATTGGGCTCTGTCAGCTTCTCCTTGGGTTTTATCAGTTTGGTTTCTATAAAGAACAATGTGCTTAGGTGACTGTCATGTAGTTGGTAGGTTGCTTCCTTTCCCAATAAGAAAAATGTAACTGTTGGAACCTTTTCATTCAAATTACTGACTTTAATAGACCTGATTCATTTGACTACATTTGATAAATACCCCCAGAGTTTTTCATTTTAATTTTCACCTTTCTCTTGTCACATTGTCTCATCATGAAGATAGGTTTCACTCAGCATGGCTTCTTTCTCTTGCTTATCCACTCCAAAATCTTCGTGTTTTAATGGAAAAGTCATCCTACTCACATTCACAAGATTGCTTATACATTCTTGGAAGCTTATTTTATAGTTCACTTCATAATGATTTCTTATCTGATATCTGTATTCACCCATGAGAAAGTCAGCCCCTCTAGGCTGCCTTTGATCTCCAATATATCCCAGCCATCCAGACAAGGAACTGACACACAGTGGCACTTGGTAAATCTATGTTGAATGTGTGACTGACTTGGAGGGGGAAACCTAGTGTAATAGGCAGGGTGATCTGACATTTCAAGGACTCCATGCTATCTGTGAGATCCCCCACCACCTTTCTCTTGAGGTCCTTCAGCTGCCCCTCCACAGGCTCCCCCTTTACCCTGTGTCTCCCTCAGGGAACTGCCCACATTCAATTCTGCACTGCCGTTTACCTGGACTATGGTCATCATGACTACCCGACCTCCATTTTTCCCAATCCAGTTCCCTTGTCAATCCTGATATGAGGATTCAAGGGCATATAACTCACAGGGAACAGCGGTTGGAGGACGGGGAAATGATGTCACTGAAAGCAAGGAAAGATTATACAAACACACATGAGGCATCCCATTAGATAGCCAATTCCTATGGATCATGGGTAAAAGGATGCCCAGGTGCTGTGGATGGATAAGCCCCAGCACTTCCAGATGACCAAATACTGGATACAATGACCTTCCCCACTGGAGTAGGAGAGCCTTGGAGTGCAGATGCAGATGCTGGCTGTGGACTCCAACCTGAGCTCAGACAACTGGCTCTAACCTGCTGGTGGAGCACTACATCCCTCATCCTCCCTACAGTTGTTCTCTAAGCCTTATGTAGTCATTCCTTCCTTATGCCTTTCCTCGTGGAGCTGAGTGCTTGGGAGGGAATTTCAGAATTTCCTCAAATGCCCTCATCACAATAGGTAGGTAGCTATGTGTCATGGTTTCCTGATGTAAAGCACTTGAGGTAACAAAGACTGTTCCTTTATTGTTGCCTCATTCATAATTCAGTCCCATCTATATCGGACAGAAGACCAGCAGGATATGCCATTTCATACTGTGTATGTTATTAAAGCAGTGTTGGGAAAAATCATGTAAGTTTCAGGACTCACCAAATCTGAAAATGACATTTATTTATTGAGCAATACGGAGCATTTCTATTCCCATTTTGTAGAAGAAGAACTGAGGCAGAGATCGTTTCAGAATCCGCTCACAGCTAGCAGGTGCTGATGTGGGGTGTGAATCACCAGGTTTCACTGCCTCCTACTAAGCATAAACAGGAACGGCATCTGAGAAGTGCAATTAAAAACACATCAGCCTCTGAGCCAGAGGACAAGCTGGCCCCTCGACCTATTCAAGACAGGAGAAGTGGAGGGTTAAACAAGAAGTGCATTTTTGACATTATCTTATATTTTGAGAAGCATGCTTGTTCACTATATATCCTCCTCACCAAAACACATGTTCTTTTTTTTTTCTGTAACCCCAGCTGGCCTGGAACGTGCTAGGTAGACCAAGCCGACCTCAAACTCACAGAGATCTGCCTGCCTCTGCCTCCCGAGTGCTGGGATTACAAACGTGCGCCCCCACGCCTGGCTCAAAACACATGTTCTAAAGGCATTCT